AACTGAAAATATTTTTTTTTGGCTAACACAGTGGCTAGTATAGAGGCTAACACAGTGGCTAGTACAGCAACTAACACTGCGGCTAACACAGTGGCTAGTATAGCTGCTATCACAGCGGCTAGTAAAGGTGACTAAAACAGCGGCTAGTACAGGGGCTAACACAGTGGCTAATACAGCAGCTAACACAGTGGCTAACTCAGCGGCTAACACAGTGGCTAATACAGCGCCTAACACAGTGGCTATTAAAGCGGCTAAAACTGCGGCTAACATATCGGCTAGAGCAGCGGCTGTGTTAGCCGTTGTAACACAGTGGCTAGTACAGTGACTAAAACAGTGGCTAACACAGAGACTAACCCAGTGGCTAGTACAGGGGCTAACACAGTGGCTAATACAGCAGCAAACACAGCAGCTAACTCAGCGGCTAATAGAGTGGCTAGTACAGCAGCTAACACAGCGGCTAAAACAGTGGCTAACACAGCAGCTAACACAGGGGATAGTACAGCAGCTAACACAGTGGCTAACAAAGAGGCTAGTACAGTTGCTAATAAAGTGGCTAGTACAGCTAGTATAGCAGCTAACACAGCGGCTAACACAGTGGCTAACAACAGGGAAAGTACAGCGGCTAACACAGTGGCTAAAACAGCGGCTAACACAGAGGATAGTACAGTGGCTAAAACAGTGGCTAACACAGGGGCTAGTACAGCGGCTAACACAGGGGCTAGTACAGCGACTAACACAGCAGCTAACACAGAGGATAGTACAGCGGCTAACACAGCGGCTAGTACAGCTGCTAACACGGCGGCTAACAGAGGATAGTACTGCAGCTAACACAGCGGCTAACACAGAGGATAGTACAGCGGCTAAAACAGTGGCTAACACAGGGGCTAGCACAGTGGCTAACACAGCAGCTAACACAGCGGCTAGTACAGCTGCTAACACGGCGGCAATGAGATTAGGAGGTAGATTAGGTTTAGTGTATATTGTTACCGGGGTTACAATTATTACAGCATATATAAACAGTTTGTGGTAGAATTGAAGTAGATTCCAGTATTTCACTCTTTAGTCTGTTATTAGGTTCTGCTCACCTATCATGCCAGCCTTGTCTCCATGCAGACATCCCAAGTTCCAAAAAGTAATTTCAGGGAGATGCTTATTCACACTTTATAGAAAACGACAGTTTTAACTTAAATTAAGTCAAAAATATGTAAAATTCCTAAATGATCAGAAATATAATTTTATTGAATCTCTCCATGGCTCCATGCTTTTGGGAAGAACTTAGAGAGGACATCATCGACTGCGACCACTGCTTTCAGCGTTTAGCCACCACTCCTGTCAGGATTGATTGATGTAAGAACTGGACTAACAGGAAATGGATAGACATCAGCACCTTTCCGTCCTCCCCGACAGTTACCGGGCAGATTTCATTCGACCACGAGCTGATCAATGATCACAGTGGATTCTAGTTCACCGGAGTAAAAGTTCAGCATTCAGATGTTCAATGTTCCAGCCAACAATCTAATCAGCATTAAAGTTTAGAATTTAAAATCAACATTAATAAATGTTTTTATTTCAGTTATGTTCAAATTAGCTTAGCATATCTGTGTGTGTCACTGAGCTGTCCTATGTGGAAGCACTGTATCTATTGCATCATTTACCTTTTCTTCCCTCGGCACCTTCTTCTTCTTTGACTATTTGAGCTGATGTAACGAGTACATTTCGCCACTGTGAGATCAATAAAATCAATCAATCAATCGATCATGTGAAAGTTTGGTCTTTTGTGGTTTAGGGAAAATCCACATTGTTTTATTATTTTCAACAAAACCATTAAATCAAATGTTTAAATGACATCTGTGTCCGCCTCTGGGCCCCGTTACCATGTAGGGATTATAAAGCGGAGTAATCGGACCATGAAGTAGGAATGTATCCATGCAGGGAGCGGCTACGCATCATATCCACACACTCCCAGGGAAACCATCCCCACCCCCAAAAAGGACATTTCCTCTTATGTTAATATATCTTTCACAAGCCAGGTGAAACATTCACAACAGCCGTCCTCCTGTTCCTGCCATGGCGGAGGCTGAGGAAGCTCTCCTGGCCTTCCTTTGGAGCCTCGCATGCAGGGATGTCCACACACTTCTCTTCACAGGCTCTAACTCCTCATTTTTTCTATTTCACATTCTCCACTTTATTACAGCCAGTTAGAAGATTGTTTGGTCAGAGAAGCTAAGCTGTCCATATTCAGATGTAATAAAAACGATGGCGATGAAAACGAAATTTTACAGAGCCCATCTGGTGACATGGACAGAAAAACTGTTTACCTGATGTTAAGTCATGGCTGCCTGTTACCAATGCCTGTTACTAACGTTTAGTTTAGTTTTATTAAGATCCCCATTAGCTGCCAAATAAATGGCCACTAATCTTCCTGGGGTCCTCACATAAATAAATTACATTACATTATGAACAAACCATAAAAAAAACACATTAGGAAATAATAGGAACATGAAAAAGAGTAGAAATATACAACATATATACACAAGTCAGTTCATCATATCATCTGCAGTAGTTCTGAAGACAGTATCTTTTTGAAGCTTGTTCTGTTCTGGACTCTTCGCGTTATTGGTAGTTGGTTCCAGTGACAAATGGCTCTATAATACACTGTGGATTTTAGATAGTTTGTTCTGGGTCGAGGGAGTTTAATGTCTCCACCTAGTGCCCACCTTGTTAACTAATTATGACCTTTTTCAAGAAGGACTAAATGTTCAGCAAAAAATGAAGGCTGTTTTTTAAAGAAGACATTCCATATAAATAGGAGAAGTCTTAAGTTTATAAGTAACTGTTAACCATGAAAGCCGTCTATACATTGAAGCCACATTTGTTCTTTGTGAGCACTGAAGGACCACTCTAGCCGCCCTGTTTTGTGCAGCTGAAGCTTGAGAAGCTCACTCTGTGAAGCAGATGACCATATCACCAGGCAATACATTTCTTCACCATCGTAATGCCTATACCCTCGCGTCAACCAGAGTGTCACCGGTGTTGCAGCTCCGGAGGAGTTGCAGGAAGCTGATCCTGATCAGGGATACAGATCAGGCAGGAACGGACAGAACAGGAT